GCCCGGGTAGGCCGCCCCGCACGGCACGCGTGTCCTACGGGCCTGCCTACCCACCAGGCGGCTCCAGTGGCTAACGCCTGACGAGGCCCGGGTTGGCCGCCCCGCACGGGTCAGCCTGACCCACCGGCGGCGTGCATGGCAGCAGCGCGCCTGCGGTGCATGCGGCAAGTGCTTCCTAATGAGGTACCGCCCCGGTCCTTTTCGATCGGTTGAGGTGAACCCAATTCCCCCGGCGCCTTCCCCATCTCTCTTTCTCCCTCCTTTCTGTTCCTTAAGCCTGAGTGGGATATGGGTATCGACGGATATGGTCAACCGACCCAGACGGGCCAACGGATGAATTAGGAAGAGGAGATGAAGAAGGCTGAAGGGGAACGGGGGAGCAAGGAGGTGGATGCACAAGATATTAATTATTTACGCATTCCGAGCTCTCAAGAGACTAACAAGGATTTCGGCTGCCGCAGCTGCATGGAAGGTGAGGAGCGACGGGCCAAGGCAGGCACCGCCGCCGGCCAGCAGATGCTGACCCGGATGTATCGTCCGAGATAGCAGTGCGCCGAGCAAAAACGCCGCCCCATGCGCCCAATTCAACATACGCACGCGTGCGCATGTGACTCCTCGTACTTTAACTTTAAAAGCGATACGACTTTTAATTTCTGCAAAGTGTAAAGAGTAAAAAGTTGTCAATCGCGAATAAATTGCCTTCGGCTTCGTTGGTCGAGTACCAGCTCTGCAAAGAGATTGCGCCGCCCAAGGCGGGTCGGAGGGGGGGAGGCGGGGAGGCGACACATAAACACTGTGTCATACGTAGTCAAAACAGGCGGCGCGGGGAAGGGAGCCGCGGCCGGGCGGGGCGGCAGCGGGAGTGAGTGCGACTCTGGCTAATCGCGGAGGTGCCAAATAATTTAGCAGTGAAACTACGCACTGAGAGAGTAATTATAAGTTCCTGCGAATTGACTCGCGCGCTGCTCTCCCCGGGAGGTACGGCGGCGGCGGCTGCAAGTGGTGGTAGTGTGCGTGTGAGCGCGACGCGTGTGTGTGCGCGCGAGTGCGGGAGCACCGCGCATGTGTGTGCGAGAGAGAGGACGTGTCTGCAGGACGGCATGGTAGGAGGAGGAGGGGGAGGAGGAGGTCTTTAAAAGTGAAATGTGGGATTTGGGCTCGTGACTGGACGTCGCTGGCCGCTCCCCGCCGCCGCCCCCCGTCCGTTCCGGGGGCCCTATTAAACGCGCTCTGAGCAAACAGGACTCACGGGCCGAACTCACCGAGAGGGTTATCCCGACATAAAAGAGCGCTCGAGTCGTACTTGTCATTCTGAGAGCGAGGGCGCGCCCGCACACACACTCACACACACGCTTACGCACAACACCGCGGGCCCTGAAAGCCCTTTTGAACGAGGGGGAACACTTCGTCGCGCGTAAATGATTGTTCATTCATGGATAGCCTCCTAAACGGCTCCGTAAATAGCGATACGAAATCTCCTCGGAAGCTCTGCTGCGCTTACCTGAGGGCCCCCTTCTCTTATCGAAAGTCCCTTTCGTTCGCGGCTCATCCTAAAGCCGGCTGCCCAGCAGCAGCAGGCCTCCTCACCTCACCCTCGCGCACCACCAGCGCGACAGACAAGGATAGCGAGCCGGCGGAACGGGTGGGGCATAAGTCACCCGGGATGGAAGCCGAACCCGGATAGCGATTCACACACATTTGTCGATATCCCCTATACAGGTGGACGGGCGCCGCATCATCAGGCACTTCGACCGCTTTTTGAAGGGGGAAAAAAAATAAAATTAACGCTGATGGAAAAACAGATCTCCATTCCACGGCCGTGAAACGACGCGGGGTCCATGCTAGGGGGCCAAAGGGCGCGGAGGAGAGGAGGAGGGGTATCGCCCGAACGTGGACCATCACAAAACCCGAACCCATTCACCAAGGGCCTCGCCACAAGCCATTCCGGCTACCTCGCCGAAGAAGCAGGCATTTACTCCTCTTCCTCTTCGCTTTCGCGATGCACCTCATTCGGCATTCACGTCGCAGCCTATACGGTCGTCCTTACTAAAAATCTAAGACGTAAACATCCCCATCCCCGACGCCTTTGAAACGTTGCAATAAAAGATGTTTAACCTCCACGACTTTACCTTTTGGCTCTGACAAGTTCAAGGGGAAGTGGACTCTGGCGCTTTTAGCGCCTGCCTGCCATGATTGTGAGTAGGACGTCGTCGTCGTCCTGCTGCGGTCGAGGGGCAGTTGCTACACTAGGGTGCCCCGCCGACCCGCGCGCGCTCACCTTGCAGCCCGTGGTGGCAGCAGCGGAGCTCGCAGACAGGTCCGGCCGGCAGCGGGCGGCGCCACACCTGTAAACATCAGTAAATAAAAACATACGGCAAAGGCCTGGCCCGTCGCGAGCGTTTTAAAGTGTGCCTACTTTTCGACCCCCGTGCCGCGCCGCGCACCGCTGGCAAGTTCGCTGCCCGTTAATCGGGAGTAGGAGGGGCCTGGCGATAGGAAATATTGAGCCCCTCCCCCCCTTCCCTCCTCTCTTCCCCGTTGCACCTAATCGCCGCCCAACTGTCAATGGAGCTCCAATTCTCAGCGTGAACCGCACGGTGGGGCGGGGCAGAGGCGGGGCGGGGGCGGGCCGTCCAGGGCCAGGGTGAGAGGTAAACGCTGCCGGCCAAGCCAGGCCCCGCGGCGGCCGAGTGCCGGCGAGTCAGTGAGGCATACAAAAACGCCCCACCCCCCTCACAGTTACAATAATTAACGCACCTCATTTTCGCCGCGCCTTTTGCACTCCTTTTCACTTCCACGGCGACCCCAAGGAAAAGGTCCCCCGCAATTATTATCCCGGGAGGCGTATAGCGGCCACCGCCGCACCGCGACCCTTAAAGCCCTGCGCCGACACTGTCGTCGAGTGAAGCGCCGGCGGCTTGCCCCGGCCTGGTAGAGAGCATCACCAACCTGGCAGAGAGCATCCCCATCCTGACGGAGAGCATCCCCATCCTGGCAGAGAGCATGCCCATCCTGGTGGAGAGCACCCCCATCCTGGCGTAGAGCATCCCCATCCTGACAGAGAGCATCCCTATCCTGGCGGAGAGTATCCCCATCCTGGCGGAGAGCATTATCCCTATCCTGGAGGAGAGCACCCCCATCACAACGCCCGCGTGGCTGTGGATCGTGTCCAAAAAACCAAACCCACGGGACACATTCTACGGCAATGCGAGGGCGATTGTAGAGTGAGTGGCTCCTCTCCGCGGTGCTGGCGTCCAGCCCGGGCCACGTGAGGCGAAGCTTGCGGTCGGATCCCGCGTCCCGCCCCGCCCCGCTCCCTCCCGCGTCCTCCTCGTCGGCGCTCTCCACCACGCGTAACCAATCACCGAAGCGCATGGAGACCGGTAAAATGGTTCTTAACAGTTTTCTCCTCTCTGAACGCTGCAGCGGCGGCGGTGGCAATTGCAGCCGCGTCCCTCTCGACGGGCCGAGCCGACCCTGGCGCGGCAGGCCCAGCAGCAGCCGCGGCGTAGCCCTCGGGCGGGGCGGGGCGGGGCGGGGCAGGTCCCGCAGCCCCGGCAGGCACATGAAGGAAAGCGCGACGCGACCACGGCAGCGCGGCTCCGGGTAAACAGGAACCAGGATTCCCTGAACCTCCTCTACTCTTCAATTTCGAGCCAAAGGTCAGGCGGCCGGGCCGGGCCGGGCCTGGCCGGGACGCGCTCGCTCGCTAATAACTCCTCCGTCCCGGTCGTCGTCGTCGCCGCGCACCGATTCTGCGTAGAATCGCGCAAACGTCTTCGATTGCCGCGCCGCCATTCTTTCCCCGGCTGGAGCGGCGCGCACGCGTCCAAGGCACATTCAAGAAGGCGATTTCCCTCCCCGGCGCGCCGCGCCCGCTAATGAGTGAGCCCGCCCCGCCGCACGAGACGGGGCGTTTTTGTTGTTTTTCTTTTCTTTTTTTACTCCCTCCGTTCTGCCGTGTATTATTTTAGTTTACGACCAGAAAAGTCTGCCATCGCCGCGGCAGGCCGGCGGCCGGTCTGCGTCGGGGGCGAGAACAAATAGCGTTCAGTTACTCAATAGGCGTTGCGGCGGCGGCCTACCGGCGGCGGCGGCGCGCTCGGCCGGCTCCCGGAGAAAGTAACGCCCGCCCTGTGCGTGAGCCCCGCCGGCCTGACCGGCCGGACCGACCGTCCAGGATCATGATGATGATGTGTTCGATTGACCAAACGACGCCGAACGGGTCCGCGCGACAGCGTGGCGGCCAGCGGCGCCTCTATAGTAGTGCTTATGGCGCCGGCGGACCGCGCGCGCTCCGACCGGTGAAAAACGACATGGGTGCGACGTCTTTTGGATGTAAAATACCTCGATTCGTCACAGTTATCGACACCGTTTTCGAACTACTTCTACTACTTCTCACAGAGCGACTTTTCCCACTCTCCTGTATTTTTCCACAAAATGTTTGTCTGATCAGAAATGTTGTTTTAGGCTCATGATTTTATTGATACCAAAGGCGGCGCATAAAATGATGACAATAATGGCAAAAGCTTGGTAGACAGCAAGTCTCTCAAGGTTTTGAATATTCTATAATATCACCGTCTACAACAATCTGATAATAAAAATGACACAAACATGCATGTGGTCCCAAATGCATTTTCTGTAATGAAACAGACAACTACATAACAGAAAACAATTACCCATACATGCACTCTAGATACTAAAAGTCCATAACCAAACTTAAAAAAAAATAACCCACAATATATTGAACAGATAATTATGCAATTCTACTTGAATACTACATTCAGGATATTTTAGGTCTTCCACCTAACTACACATTGATGTCCAGATAATGATGAGTAAATTGCATCAATAGGAAGGTGACGCCTATCAAAATGGAAAATACATAAGAGGGGCTGAAAAGAATGATTTAACACATTCAGTGTGACTGTGAATCTTGAGAGATGGAAAACCTAAGAAAGCAAGTCAATAGAAGAAAGAATACCGGTATGTACTTTAGTCAAATGCTTACACAATCTAATCAAGTAATCAGTATTTTGAAGAGTTTTTGATGAATAAAAAATATGTAAATTGTACATGATCACAAGAATTTTCTCCATTCACCAGCAAAATATTCATGTGAAAACAAAAGGTTTGTTCCTTAAACTTCCCGATTTCTTTGATTCACTACTGTGGTGCAATCATCTCCCCCCGAAGAAAAGTGGGTTTGTAGAGGTACTCCCTGTATTTAGGGCCAATACCTGACTAGACATAGACAATGAATATTCATGCAACATAAACAAATTAAGCAACATTAAAGTAATTTTGGAGAATAAGTTGAAACACTTAAATTTAACAGATAACATAAATATTAAACTGGAAATGCAGCTATCAACAATCATTGAATTGTGTTTGAGTTCCAAGAACACAAACAAATATCATCACAAAGATCAAATAACAATATAAACCCTATTAACCAACCAAATATTTCCACATAAAAGAGGAATCAAACTATTAAAAAATATATGTCTTCATGTAGACTTCTGAAGCAAGGTCACACGAAGATATGTACAACACAGCTGTTCAATATGAACACACCACAACTTTAATGTGGAAAACAATCTAAATGCAGTCACAAAAAAATAAAACTTGGGGAAAACTCAAAGCATGTTTGCTATCATATTTCCAACAAGATTATTGATTATTGCACAGACCCCTGCCTAAATTAATTCAGCTCCACTGCATGAATGTATGTGCTTTCTTATTCAAAAACAGGCTGAATAAAAATCACATACACTCCTACATTTGTCCATCATTCCTTTATCTGTCCTATCTTAGCATAGGGTAGTCAATAATAGACATAAACATTCAAGTATCATACTCAGTCAACAGATAAAATATATTTAAATAAATGGAAAAAAATTCAAGAGAGAAAGATTCTGGTTAAAATGGAATGACAATTACTAAAACTATCCCACTTACGTGGTATTGTGCATAAAATGGTGAGTGCCTGGTAGAAATACCACGATTTACAGTTATTTAATGGACTCAAAATACATTTATCATCCCTCACAACACTCCAGTTTGGCACTTCGACCAGTCTAGCAGGTACAAACTTATGCCCACACTGCATCCAAAAAGCAGATACACACAGATGAAACGAGCACTAAACTACACTACACCAGTATAATAATTTTGATTTAATTGGTCAGGCTATGAGAAATGTATATGTTAAATAACCAACTACAGTATAATCATTGAGAATTCTAACCTGATATGCCACAAATGTCAGTCATTTGATGTAGGAATTGTTTGATAAGACACTTCATTGTTCTGCATCTTCAGGTAAACATTTGGAGATGGTTGGCTGGATAGCTCTCCATACCTCTGCCAACTGTAAAAGGAACAGGATTTTGAGCCTTTGAATATGTATTTTGATTGTCATTTACAATAAGAATGTAGAATACCATATTTCCCTCAAAAACATAAAAATAAATGCAGCTGTCAGAAAACACAAAACTGGCTAGATCTTTCAAGATTTAAAAATAAGAAGTAGTAATAGTAAACATGAATAATAAACCTACCTCTGCATGGCCTCTTATTTGTACAGACACCAGAACACTGATCACAGTGGCAAAAAGCTCCAGGTGGGCATGGACTAACTGGGTTTCCATGTGCATACAATGAAGAGAGTAAGCACTTCGGAGCTCCACACTAGCTATAACAGACTCCTGTTGTAGCATCCTGTCTTCCAGAGCAACCACAGACTCCACCTAATAAGTATAAGGGAAAATTTTCTTTGTCCTTAATTCTGTTGCTTTCAGGCATTATTATCTACATTATTGTCTACCACTAGTTACCATACCTCCCCTCTTAATACTCCTTGCATTTGTCTCTTCTTTAATGATAACATCTTTGCATGAGCCTTTTGGTGGTCTTGCATGACACCCTTTTCATGGCGAGCACATAAATCTCTGTATGCAAACAGAATGTCCATTAATAAGTTCAACTGCGCACATAGTTCTGCCTCTTCACGCACAGACTGTGCCATGGCTTTACTGGAAAGGATTCCTAGCTCCCTGAAAGAAATAGGAAGAGATCAACGTAAATTAGCAGAAGTATTATTAAATGATTAATGAATTATTACATTTAAGTAACTGGAAATACAGTACTTTGATATTGTATGGAAACCTTTCTTCATTTCTGACCAGATTTGATTTCCACCCGTGGCCCAAGAAGATGTTCCATTATTTTCTGAAGCTAAGAGGGTGAGTTGGCTACCAAGCTCAGCCATGTCAGAGCCATACCTGTAAATTCCAATATGATGGACTAATTAAGTGATCACAAAACAGAGAAAATCATTATAGTCCTGAAACTTACGCTTGGGAGCGCTGGGCCAGGCCATCAGTTATTTGTTTAACTCTGGAAACACTGTTAGTTATGAGACGTATGTGTTCTCGGCTGTTAGCCAACTCAGTCAGAGTATCAGGAGGAACCAGCTCCTGTAATTGAAAAAGAAATGTCATATCACATTCATGATTCATGACCCATACTCAAGTTTAAACAACTTTACTAAAATATTTAGTTAAAATTCAATCAAATTCATTGTAATAATCACTCTACCTTGGCCCTTGATGCAAGTTCAGATGTTGTAAATTCATCTGGAACTCGACGGAAAATTTCTCTTATTTTGTGCTGGATGTCATCACCATCATATGTGAAGAAAAACTGAAGTATAGGGTCTTGATTGATGACAGGGTGCCGTGAGACAAGGCTGAGCCACCGCCAGAGCCATTGACGCCTTTCTTCAATGAATTGTGTATCAGCTGTGCGTACCAAGAAAAAAACACACAAAGTTAATCAAATTTGGCGATTACAATTTCAATTTTAAATATGACAAATTATCTGTGTCATCTGAATACTGACAACCAATGTTCATTTTCTTTGGAGGAAGCCTTGGAATCAACCTGTATGGAAATCTTCCGAGAAGCAAATCATACAAGGATACGAAGTCATTATATCTGCGGCGCACTTTGGTGCCAAATCTCTGTATGATACAAAATGGTTTAATATAGCATTATTACACTTTTAAATAATGAGATTTTTTAGCATTTGATAATGACCTTGCTTGTAACTTGGTATTCAACATGTTTTAAGAAGAGGCCTTTTTTCTCTGGAACAAGGTGGACAGTTACTGTATCTAATCGGCAAAGATCACCATAACGCATGCCTAGGTGACCAGGGTGACATTGCCTCTGGCGTTGTTTCTGCAGTTGACGTAGATCACTTAGATCACCCAATGAAGGAACTGGATACTCTGAAGATAGAAAGAAAGAGTACATTACAATAATTCTTTACTATACAACAAACTTTGATCAAATAAAAACAGAGAAAAACTTACCATCCCCAGAAAAGTTATCCAGAAGCTTTACACTGAGTTCTTTGCCCTGCTGAGCCCAAGCAACAAGCGCTAGCGCTTTGTAAAGTGATGTCCTTGACAGAGAGCCCTGTTTGGCTTCCATGAGTTCCCATATCTACCAAATAAAAAATAATATTTTAATGAACACATGATAAAATAAAAGTTAGGAAGCTAAATCACTTCTTGAAAACACAAAGAAAATAAAACCACATTAAACCAGTTACCTGGCTAAGTTTCTGCTGAGGAAGACCCGATTTAACAAGGAGGCGAGTGAACATTTCCTTGCTAACACTGTCGGCGACTGAGCACAAATCATAAACATCTCGATAGAATGAAGGGATCGTACCTGAAAATCATGGAAAATAGGAAATCAATAGGTTATAGATAATATATCATAGGGTTTCCAAACAAGAAACAAGGAAACCAACAAACATAACCTCTACTAGCAGCAAAAGTGATCAGATTACTAAACTTCAATCACTATTTCAAATTTTCTTTGACAGGGAAAAATAATTGATAAAGGATGTCCACTAGTGCATGAGAGATGACATACTGACAGGCCTTTGTGAAGGGATTACTGAATGAAAGGGAACTCATAATTTTTGGCACAGATTTAAAATCTTATCAACGATAGAGAAACAACCAAAATAAGATAAAGTTTACTCACACATGTGCAACAAGTCACCGAATAGCAAGGCTTAAGATCAACAGGTTTTGGAGATTGACAAGACCCCCCTCCCCCCTCTCTCTTGTTTACAATCGTAAAAATACGCTTTAAACCGAATGCCACTAACATAAACAATAAAGGGAACAATTCGGGAGGGCAAAAGAACACTGTAGGCGACAGCACTGTGCCATAGCACGGCCAGAAGCAGAGCCATTCAATATTGTCACGAAGACAAACACTTACCGTTTGCCAGGTCGGTCGCCATGTTTGACACCTCAAAGAGACAGCAGAGCATCAGCATCGGCTGCCGCCGCCGCCACTGCCTCCTCCACCACCACCACCACGGCCGCCGCGCCGGACAAGACCGTTCCAAAGGGAGACGGCCACGTCCAAGTCCGCCTGGGTGTCGATTTCCAGGCTGCAGTTACTGGGGATCTCCACCACGCCGATCCTACAGCGGCGAAGAAGAAAACGAAATGACGTTAAAGAGCCAAATAACTGCGGCGAGACGACGGGCAGCATTTATCTCGAAAGACCCCCGGCACCACACAGATACGATGATCGGTCTGCGCCAACCAGGCGAGGTCTTGGTCATACTGTACATGTAAACCACATCGCGTCAAGGTGTTGCGGAACCGCGTTTAAGAGGCTGAGCCTCTGTGGTGGCCAGACGCAATGGGGGGATGCGTCTAGCTGGTCTAGCGCGGCGTGCAGACAGCAGGCGTGCATCAGCCGGTGCACCATATCAGGCGCCACCACTCGAGAGCTTAATGGTCGTGTCGACGCCTAACGGCTATAGATCCCCGGGAGCCGGCTAGGAGTGAGATATGGGGTCGACCAAAAAAATTGTAAGAAATATTTTGTTTTTAGGAATCTGTCAAAACTATAGGCCTGGCGCCACCGGTCCCGGGCAGGAGCAGGGAAGTCCCCTTAAGAGGTTGGCCTTAAACTGGGATTGGGTATGCAGCAGCTGTGAACCGGGAGTGTTGCCTCGGCTCAAGCTCAAATCACGTCTCGGGTTGTACTTGGTTGGTTGTGCGGGGGCGGGATAAGGCCAGGCCCCCCAGGCGGGCCGACAAAATGGGAGGGATAGACCGAGCGGTCGTGGAGGGCGCGCGGGCGCGGCGAGATGCCGGGTCGGGTCGGGTCGGGCCGGGCGGAGGCCGCGAGGTCACCTCGCCGAGGTGAGGTACCCCGGGTACCGAACACGACGACGCGTATCAGCGCGTGGACAAGCGAGCCGGCCGGTGCGGGAATAATAGGAACCGCGGGGAAGAGGGGGAGGGGGGGGGGGGGCGGCGGAGAGAAGAAAAAGAAAAGAGGGGAAAAAACGAGATAGCCTTGGGAAAGCCGTGCGGAATGGTTTAGCCAAAGCGAAGTACATACATACACATTACACGGAATGCGCATGGCGAGACCGCAAGGCCGCGCGTGTACGTGAGTATGAGTGTGTGTGTGCGTGTGTGTCAGTGTGTGTGTGATACATAGTGAATTTTGTCTGTTTATCTGTTAAAACGGGTATTACCTACACGCAGCGAGGTGATTTCGTTCACTATGACACACTGCTCCTCCTGGATTTTCGCCAAACGCACGTCAGCCGTATGCCGTCCCGTCCCGCCCCCATCCAGCGAGACACGCCGGCCGACACCAACCACCGACCACACCACCACCGGCGTTCCTTACGCCTGAGTCCTCAAAGTCAGCCGGTGAATTCCGGAAACAACCGGCGAGAAAGCAATCCTCGGCGTAAGGGGACGGACGGGACAGACAGCAAGGGGAGACGGGCGGCGGGGGCGGGAAGGGGGGAACCGAACCCGTCCACCTCAACGCAGTCGCAGCTCTGATGGAGGAGCGGGGGCGGTGGGGTTGCAGGTGGAGGTGGAGGGGCCTTCCCATAGGGGGACCCCCATGAGAATTGCAAAATGGGGCCGGCAGCGGCCGCATGCTACTCCATGCTCTGGAGCCCCATGGGAACGGCCCGAGAGCTGCAGACGTGGGGGGGATTCACTCAATCATCGCGTTCGTTTTCCCACAGCTCACCGCCGCCGCGCCGGTCGGCACCTCCTGGAAGCGCAATTAATCGAGGCCAGCATACTACTGGAGGTGGAGGTGGCGCCTGGAGGGCACAGACGCACGCAGCCCAAACGGCACGCCGGCGGGCCGCGCGCCCGACCGGTAGGCAGCCCAACGCGCACCAGCGAGCGGCGGTGCGGCAGCGGTGGTGGGCGCATGGGTGGGCGGCGGCGGCGCTGGCTCGGTCGCTGGGATAGGAGGGCACTCACCTTCCACCCTGAAGAAGGCCACCGAGAACGAGGCGTCTGGATACAAAGTAAAACATTCCGTTCTCAACTAATTCACCGCTCCAGTCCTGTCTTCTGGGTCTGTGCTCTGGATCAAAATTGGCAGCGCTTGCGTGTCCAGCTGAGGCAAATTACACAAAATGAGTTTCAGTCGAGTAAACTGGATGAAGTGATAACAGTACATGATGTATTCATTTTACCGCACCTAGATTTATATTCCATCTTAATTTGAACTGGCGAGTGACTGAGAAAACTGATTCATAACCTTGGTGTACTAAGGATATCGCTGAATGGATGAAAGGATGTGCCAGAAAAGGGGAGGTGCATTGGAACAAAGCTACAACTTCAACGTCTAAAAGAAAGCCAAATTAAACATTAGAATATGTGACACAAGTATGTGGTTGAAATAGATTTTGTAAACTACCTGGATTGAAAGACAAGAATTCCTTGACTGCTATTATTGATGGAGCAGTATCCGTTGCACTCTGAGGTGAGCGTTTAAATACCAAAGCTCCGGACAGAAGAGCTTCTTCTGCAATAGTATTACAATCCGTAGCAACCCAAATTGAGCTTAATCCTGGATGTAACATTCCAAGAAATAAAACTTCACAATAGTTATATAAAGTGTGTACAAATTGGTAGGGTGCAACAATTCATACTTGTAGAAAATTGAAGAGTTTTGATAGTCCTACGTAGAAGAGAATCAGCCCCAATTTTAGCTAGGTTTTTCATGGGAATCCCTTTACTTCCACATCTTGCCAGGACTAAGCCAGCAATATGGGGCTGGGTTCTACCGATCCTATTAGAGAAAAATCATTATTATGGACAGTTTCCTAAAACATTCAATAACACAACTTTGGGGTTTCTAACCTCTCGGAGGAAACCGGTGCAAGTAAACTATTCAGGAGCGATATTAAAAGAATCATGGTCATCAAGGGAGGAGTGAAGTTGAAGAACCAAGTGTTCCCCATATTTAATGACACAGCAATTTATTTGCCAATAAAATTTTCAGAACTAAAATAGATTCAAAAAGCTTTGACACTTTAGGGCGACACAACAACGCAAACTCCTATCCTCCTCGCAGTCACAGAACAAGTGTCAACACAAGCAGACGATGTAGGTTTCACCACCTTAGCGGGCGAAAATATAGGCACAAATAACACGGAAAATGGACGATTTATAGAAGGATATTTTTTAAAAAACGAATAGTAACGGAATTTAACGGAATCCAAAAGTCAAACAAAACTAAAATACTCGAAAAATCGACTGAGTGTTGATCTTGGCATGTTGGCAAGACGTTCTGGAAGGAACTGGCGGGAAAATACTGATGAAACGGCAATCGAAGAAGCATGAGAGAGGCTGCTCAAGCTAGAACGTTATTTGACGACTTGAGGCATACATGAAGTTAAAGAAGACTGTGAATAAGCAGATGCTTTTGTTGTTTTGTTTTGTTTTTCAAGCAAAATAAATCACTTGTTGAGTAAAACTGAATCGACCCGTCCAAAAACAGTTCAAAAATTCTCAATGAAAACCTAAATAATAGAAGACGGAACAATCCGGATGGTTGAATTTACCGACGTAGCTTTACTAGCTGATCAGTGTGATCCCTAAAGGTAATCAATAATCTCACGCATTTTTCATTTCCTTTTTTTGAAGTGACTGAGATGCGAGGCAAGAGGAGAACGAAACGAGGAAAAGAGAGTTGACACTACTAGCGTGCGGGTAAGAAAGCGGAAGAATAGAGAATGGCGATGATGATGGTGTTAAAGGAGATTCAGAGGAAACGTGGGTAAAGGCAAAGTCCCCGACGAGGCTCGACGGGCAGGCAGCGACGGCGGGGGCTGAGGTAGGTGTAGGGAGAGCGGGCGGGGCGGGGCCGCGGGCCGCGGAGCGGGGCG